TGTCTTCATTTGACTGTGCAGATAATCGACAAGGCAAAGTGGTCACTTTGAAATAAGGCATCACATGTCTCAGTCTTGTTGGTCACTACTAGTGCATACCCATGTTTTAGGTGCTCCCAGTATATTTTGAAGCACCTCGAGGCTACAGGAAGGTCACAGCATTCAGCAAGGTGCTCAAAGAACATGAAAATCTGGATCATGTTAATCACACCCAGGATATCTATCCCCTAACTGTCCCATGTCCCCCTGCTGCTTAATTCTCCATTGAGCTGAGACTCATCTTATGACACAGGGTTTGTTGAGGGTGTAGTCTTACCAGCAGTGCCAGACCAGCAGGACTGTGCAGGCTGTCAGTGTTTGGACACATTTATCCCTCAGTAAAGCAAACTTACAATTGAGCCCTGTGCAAGGGGACGGGAGCAGGCTCCCCAGAGTCAGACCACTGTCTGCAGGCGCTGAAACCCTAGAGGGTTGAGTGAAAGGACCATCCCCTCCCTCCACTTGCTTTAGCTGTATGATACTGTGGCCTGCACCGGGACAATAACTTCCTCCTGTATTATTGATGCAGCGGGGAACAGCGATCACTCAGCGCAGCGGGGCTCGATTCACCACGGGAATAGGCAATGAGAAACTGGATCTGCCACATACGTTCCTCCTCTCTCTGCTGGAAACTCAGTCATGGCGGAGGGGAAATCATCTGATGAAAGTAGCAGTTGAGATTGGAATATTTGATTTGAGTCAACTTTTTTGACCTTATATTCCTACATGAGGCCAAAAAGCTTGCAAATAGTCAAAATATAAAAGTAATATATTTAAATTGCAGCTTGTGTGAGAGATATTGTTTTGTTTGATTGTTTTTGCTGTTTTCTGTGTCTTAAAATGGTGAGAACAAGCAGCAGCATCCAGGAAAGAGAAACAATGGACCTGTGTTGTGCCAAAAAGTGGTTTTGAGTTATTTACCAGATTTTTAAACTGTTGTAAATGGGTTGTTGGCCTATAATTAATCTAAAATATGCCAAACATATCACTCATGAATGACATCAAGTACTTTTGAACCAGAAAGAACATTTCTGTCACAAGGCAGAAGCAACAATCAGTTTTTAGCAAACTGACTGTTTTCTATACTTTATTTATCAAGGTATAGTACTTTGTACTTGTTTGATCTTGTTTGATCTAAAATATGGTTACACAAGTTCAAAAAATATGCAAAAAAACCCCAAAACATATACACATATGTTTTACACTTATCCATTTCAGGGTCATGGGGCCTATCTCAGCTGTCTTGGTGTGAGTGCAGAACAACATGGACACTATCCACTGTATCTCACACCCTCACCCTATAGATAATTTTGAAACAGCAGTTATTTTTTTAAAAAAAAGAAGCACTGGGACAGTGGGAAAAAAAACAAACAAGGAAGACCATGTGAACTTCATAGAGAGGCTGAGGTCAACCAGGAGGTGCAATCCCAGAAACTTCTTGCTGATGTACAAAACACTTTAATGCAGGAAGCAATGGAAAGAGTTTTAACAATTTTAATGAACAACTTCAAGACATGGTAACAACATCTGCAGCAAGTTCAGGAATTAAAGTTGAATAATGATCAAGGGAAGGTCACTGGTCAGCAATCTAATGGTCAAGTCTACTCTTTACACAGGATAGAGTTCAGTTACTGCAGCATTCTTGAACTGCTCAGTTTTCGGCAGGGATCTCGTTCAGAAAGACTGACGTTGATTCACATAAGAATTCCCTGTTGCCCACAGGTCTAGACTTATGTGAGTATTCCTCAGTAAAGCCAGAGGGGAACAGGCAGGAAAAACCAGGAGTTAGGCAGGCTCACACACCCAATCTGGATGGAAGAGGATAAACAAGGAAAGTACCAAAACATCTACAAGAGGCCTGAGTGACACTGCCACATGATATAGCTTAGCAATCTGGCAATGTAGGGATAACAGTGGTTAAATACTGCAGGTGGGTGTTGATAAGAAACAGGTGCACCAGGGAGTCTTGGGTAACCACGCCCACTTCTGGGAGGAGTCTCGCTCCCATAACAAAGAGCATCAGACCGAGCAAACAAGGAGAGAAAGAGTGAAGCCAGGCCAACATCTGTGACCATGACACCATCTGAGACACAACAATGAATTATGTGAATAGCGCCACCTATTGGCTGTCATTAAAAACACCTGACAAATGACCAATGAAGTATCTTCATCTTTCAGTTGCTCCCTTTAGAGACGACATACTGGACAAAGGATGTCAAATATGCAGATGACACGCAGGTCTAAAGGAGAAAGACCACAAAGAAAATTCATGGAGGTGATGAAGGAGGACATGCTGAGGGTTGGTGTGACAGAGGATGCTACAGATAGAGGCATGACATACCCTTTAGTCTAAAACAACACACAACACAACTCTTTTTTTTCTCAGGATTAAGAGATCCCATTTTAAATTTTGATTTATATTTCTTTACTACTTAAAGTCATATGAGCATTAAAGGTAGATTAAAGAAAAGATGTAAATGAAACATAAGTGTTCCAGTCTTTGCAATCTTTGCTTCTCACTTTAATCCAAGTGCTGCTCCACATTTTTACCACGAGGATTCCTCTCATTGGGAATTACAAAGGAGCTCTTCCGCAGGAACACCAAAAGCCTTTGCCTTTACCTCAGTGTGCAGCAGAAAATGCTTGCGGACCTGCAGGATACAAAGTTTCACTGCGCTTATTGTTATGAAATACATTAAAAGTAATTTCAGGAAACAAATAGACAACTAACCATGGAAATTTGATTTATTTTGTGCTGTAGGGTCCTGATGGCAGTATTTTTGCAGTCAATATGTGCCTGCAAGCAAAAACATTAAGAGCTTCTTTAATGTTCTTATAAAAACATGACACTTCCAGAAATATACTTAAAAATATACACTCACGGGCCACTTTGTTGGTAACGCCTTGCTAATACCAGAATGAACCTTTTGCCTTCAGAGCTTTTTCTCCTATTTCTTTGTGGCACAGATTCAACAAGGTGCTGAAAACACTCCTCACAGATTTTTGGTCCCACGATTGCTGTACATTCATAATGTGACTCTCCCGTTCCACCACAGCCCAAAGGTGCTTTATTGGATTGCGATCTGGTGACTGTGGAGGTTATTTGACTCCAGTGAACTCATTGCCATGTTCCAGAAACCAGTTTGAGATAATCTGAGCTTTGTGACATGGTGTGTTATTCTGCTGGGCGCAACCATCAAAAGATGGGTACACCGTGATCATAAAGGGGCGGATACAGTCAGCAACAATACTCCGGTAGGCTGCGGTGTTTAAATGATACTCAGTTGGTCCTGACGGGTCAAGAAAATCCCCCCACCACACACACACAAACACACCATTACCTCACCACCAGCACCCTAAAACAGTGGCACAAGGCAGTGTGGATCATGTTGTTTAAGCCAAATTCTGGCCCTGCTATCCAAATGTCACAGCAGAATTTGGCACTCATCAGACCGTGCGCTTCAAGGTTCAATGGTTTGTTCAGAGATGTTCTTCCAATCAGCTTGAAGCAGTCTGGCCATTCTCCTCTGACATCAACAAGGCATTTTCACCCAGAAAGTTGCTGCTTCTCTTTTCCTCATCATTCTCTGTGAACCTTCAAGATGGTTATGTGTGTGAAAATCCCAACAGATCAGCAGTTTGTGAAATCCTGACTATGTCTACAGGCCGAATGCCTTGCTACCACGTCACTGGCTGATTAGATATTTGCGTAAATACGCAGTTGAACTAGTGTATCTAACAAAGTGGCCAGTAAGTGTATATAAAATCAGTGTAAAGGTTTAGATGACTGCTGAAGAAGAAACATGAAGTAGATGTACAACACTACCTCAGTTTTCTTTATGACCCTGGTGAGGGCTGTTTGGTCCATGTTGGAGGCTGAAAGCACCGCACTGAGCTGAGCCTCCATCTCCTCCAGGCTCTCTGTCAGAGCCTGCAGCTTCTTTTCCACCACCATGTTCTCTATGTCTCCATTATGCTGCGCCTTCTCAACAATCTCAGTGAAAGCCTTGCGAAGTTCATCCCTTTCCAGTTGGAGCTGTGCAGCAAACACACAAAAACATTCACATAAAACGTGTGCAACTACACATGAATGGAGCTGATTGTTCGTTTTTACCTCGCTGAATTTCTGTTCCAACACCTCGTGCTCTGCTTTCAGATCTTTCAGCTTTTTTCTTTTGATGTTTCCAATTACATCCTGTCAAAAGCAGTGCACAGAAATTATGCTCATACTGGGCTACAGCAATGCTGCACAACAACGAAGATGCTGGTAAAAGCAAGAGAAACTGTCCAACAGTAAACTCTGTGAAAAAAGGTGCCAAAAGAACCTTATTTCTTGAGTAGTGTCTCAGTTTCTTGGCAATTTCATCGTTTTCTTCCTTGATCTTTGAGATAAGCTCAGCAAGATGTTTGTTCTCCTTCAAAACAGTTACCACCTCCAGTTTCATGTTCTTTTGTTTCTTCTTTGCTTCATTAATTTCTCCCTGGAAAATTCAAATAAAACATTGCATGTGAAAATAAAACACATCTGGGTCAAAGCTGGTGGAAAAACTGTTCAGCAACAATAAATAATAAAATTTCAGTCACCATTTCAAATTTGGAGGCTTTTGTTTTGCATTTTACAGAATATCAAAACAATTATCAGTTCACCCGGTTTAAAGATACCCTCTAATGGTTCTGCTATTTCATAGATAAACCGTTCTAAAAATTATAAGCTGTAGCCACAAGCAGAAGACTGATCAGTAGTGAGTTATAGGTTTAAACAAAGCTTGTGTTTGTGATCGCACCTTGAGTTCAGTGAGCGTGTCTGCGTCCGTTTTCATGATAATGACAAATTCCTCAGCGCTGCGGTAGGTTTCATCGTGATCTTGTTTAAGAGCAGCGATGTGGCTGTTCCAGTGGTTTTCTCTATCGCTGATCTCACTTTTCCAGATGTTGTCCAGATCTTGTTTTAGCGCCTGCACTTTCATCTCAAACGACGCTGTAATTTCTGCTCCAGCCGTAACACAAAAGGATGGCCCGCGTTCAGTGCTCGACAACGTGAAGCGATGAATTCAACTCAGAATGCGGTTTTTATTTTTGGGTTGTGTTTTTGTTGTTTTTTACCTGCAAGCTGTTTCTCCAGGTGGTCGCTCCTTGTGGTCAGTTCTTCACCATGTTTCTGTTAAGATAACAACCAGTTAGGAGTGTTTATTCTTGCAAGCTGAAGTATATCAGGGTCAGACGTGCAGAGCTATGTAATACAGTACTGAGGTGCAACAACAGATAACAGCTATGCCCACGGTTAAACCACAGTGAGGATTTTACACTAATTCATCAGCCTTAAAAGACCCCAAGAACAAATTTGTGGTCAAGTTCTTACAGCTCATGGAAGCCAGACTTTATGAATTCACATACTTGTGATTCTTTTTTGTTTGAGGATCAATTTTGACCAAATTTTGCTCTTTTGATAAACATTAGTGATTTTTCCCCTTATCTCGTTTATTTATTTACTTACAGTCTCTGTTTGTACTTTGCCTTTTAGTCCATCTTATTCTTAGGTTATGTTCTAGTTTAGTCCTTGTTCTCCCCACAACAGGAGGAAGTATACAATCAGTACTGTTTGTATGTGCTTGTAAGCAGTCTAGCATGCACAGTTTTCAAGATATCACTTTTAGATAAATGATATCTTGGATACCAATAACAGCTCAAGCTGATTTCATTTTGATGAAAACCAGGTCAAGGTCATGGCACATTTGTGAAAATCAGTAAAAACTTTATATTATCTACAGTTTTTTGTGGATTATTAAACTTCACAACATGATAATAGGTATTGGGGGACATGAGTATGTGTTAGCACCCAAGGTCAAAGTTGACCTCGGAAAAAAAAAAATCAAGAAACCATAATCTATCATATGAAAGGGCATGTAGAGAGGTGTACGACACGCACTTTTTTTAATACGACACCCTACAACATCACAATGACACCATAAATTTTGCAAAATCAAAATATCTGAAGTTCTTACAGCTCATAGAGCCAAAGATTTCAACTGATTCATATGGGTAAAGATCATAAAGTACACTGTTTTAGTATTTAATGGTTCAAGGCCATGGGTCAAAGCAGGCTGATGTCAGCAAGTTGTAATAAAAAGAAATTACAAAAAATTAAGGTTTCATATCCTCTCATTATTTGTCTGTATATTTATTGTGGTAGTCTCCCCTTGTCCTTTGTCACGTGCTCACTCTGGTCTATGTAACTGTCATAGGTTCCTAGTAAGTTCCTGGTTTCTACCTAGTCTGAGTTTTCTTGTATTTCATTTCCAGTGAGTTCACCAATAAAGTTCCTAACAATGTTTCACAATAAAAGCATTGTTAAAAAATGCTATGCTTTTGGACACTGGTTTAGCTCGGTGGTTGAGCAGACCACATGCCGCAAAGCCAAATGCAGTGCTGTGTGAATTAAGCCATCCATCCAGGTTCTACCCTCTTCTGTGTCCAAGTCATGGGAGTAACAGTCTAAGCAGACATGGCCACACCTTCCTCTCCACAGCCACTTCCTCCAGCTCCTCTGAGGTGTTCCAAGGCCAGCCATGAGATGTGATCTCTCGAGCGAGTGCTCTCTCCGCTCAGCAGGACATGCCCCAAACACCTAACTTATGTCAGAAGCCTGAACCACCCCATCTGGTTTCTTTTGATGTAGAAGGGTAGCAGATCTACTCTGAGCACATCCTTTGGAGGATGCTCATTTACCACTGCTTGTGTCCACAGTCTTAGTGTTTCGGTCATTTCTCACAGCTTGTGGCCGTGGGTGTGGGTAGAAGCGAAAATCTACTTAAATAGAGAAATATGAAGGTTTTTTTCCTCAAAAGTGGAACAGGTGGCAGACTATTATTCTAGAGCACCCCGTCAACACTACGAATATGATTAAGGTAAAGGGAAATGTATGTTTTGTACTACAAACCAGTTCAAGTTCCTTCTTGGTGTGTTTAAAGTTGATCTCTTGGATGTCCACCCGCGTAATTGTCTTACGAAGCTCTTCCTCTAGGTGCTCTTGCTCTTTCTCCATCAGTTCACTGGACGCCAAAGAATCTGCATTCAGTTCAGCGATATCATTCAGGTGTTCATGCTGGAGGTGCTTGATCTTCTGCTTGTACACCTGGTGGAAAAACAATTACATGTGAGCGTTTATATGGAAATCCAGTATTCCTAAAACACGTAGCCTTGCAGTTGGTATCATCCACCATCTTTTAGCCCTAACCCAAACCCCTGGCTTGGTACCTATTCAAGTTAGGTCAGCAGTCTCCGACCCCCGGGCCACGGACCGGCCGTGAGAGTTGAGGCTCGGGTGTGAAATGTATGGTTTTCAGGGTTTTTATCAGTTTTTATTGTTATTTTTTTTAGCGTTTCTATCGTTTTTGGTACCGGTACTGGTTTTATTTTGTTGTATTTATCCACGACACCTTAAAGGCCGGTCCGTGAAAATATTGTCGGATATAAACCAGTCCGTGGCGCAAAAAAGGTTGGCGACCACTGAGTTAGATTATAATCTCTGGCCAAACCTTATAGACAACTTAATATTAACACCACAGCCCTCTCAGTTACCCATCTTTATCTTTTATGCTAGCGGCATAGAAAATAAAGTCATCTGTACCTTAAATTTATCAGTAGCCATTAATAAGCAAATCTCCATAAACAGATTCCTACATATATCATAGAATAACCTGTAAACACTGAACCACATATCCTGGTTTCACTAAAAACCTTAAAATATCAGCATAAGAAACTTGTCCTGATTTAGGTTTCTTGAAATGTTTTACTAAATTTAAGAACACTTAACTTCAGCATCACCTGACTCCATCTGACCAGCCTTCAAAATGGAAGAGCTATCTATTTTTCAATATTCTCTCTTAAAATCAGTAAAATCTTACCTTAACGTCTAATTGGTGACGGGCCTCATTTTCTTCTACATCCTTTTCTACCTTTTGCAGCTCAGAGTCAACCTCCTTCTGTTTTCTAACTGTGATTTCCCAAAAGCTGTGGATCTTGTCCCTCTCCAACTGAAAGTAGTTTCTCTCTTCCCGCTCTCTATCCAGTTCCTCTCGAAGACGCATAATGTGCTCCTCCAGCTGAAACACAGAAAGGTGTGACTGTAGTTTTTATGTGCTCGACAAACCAAATGAACATATTGTCACTTTTTTTCACGCTTTAGGAGAGTCTGAAGAAATCACTCTCCAATTTCCATACACTCATCATGGGCATCAATATCATGGTAATTTGGTCCTTTTAATGATTTCTTTGTTGCTTTTCTCTAACCAACAAAGGATCAAAAGTTTACATACCAGCTCAAATATATACACATACAGTCACATAAGTCTTATAAGTGATCCTACATGTTCTACAATGTATCTTAACTTGATAAGGCCAAGGCCCATTAACTTGGAGGAGTGTGGATTAGAAAAAATCCTAAATTAATTCAAACTTGCACACTCCAATCTTGGTTTTGTTTTTTTGTTGTTTTTCTAATTCATTAAAGATATAGCGTGTACAATCATTCCACCCTGGAGAAACAACAGTTCAAAGAAATCTTTAAAAGCCCCAGAATGCTATAACATCCATGTCCATGACAAGTACATGTAAACTTTTACCATATCCATGTTTTGTTTTTGTTGTTTTTGCTTTTTTTTGGTACTTCGATGGATTTATGCATCTTAAAAGTCTTCAGGGAAAGCTTGGCACATTACAAAGTTAGAAAAAAATCTGAATTGCATTATCTGCATCATGACGCCTTTTTGCAGGCAGAGAGGCTCTAATTAAAATATTCCAACGGAGTGTTTACAGAGCTTGATCCGTATTAGGAGCCAAGATATGTCAATCTCACTTGCATTGAGTGTTACTTAAATGTTGTGCCTCAGCTTTATGTGCTACCCCTCTCAATGCACAGATCACTTTGAACAGGTTCCTATTTGTTTCCTCCTGACAAAAAATACACATTCAGACACATTTTATCACTCTTCAGCTCTGACCTGCTCCTTGGACATTTCATCCTTGGTGAGGCCATTTATCAGCGTGGGGGTCCTTGGATTTGCTGGTTTTTTATCTGCACTTTTCTTTTTGGGTGGCTAGGGGGAAAAGAGTCAGCACAGCTGTTTAAAGTTAAAACTGCTTTCTGGTTAGCAACCAATGACTGCATCAAAGATAAAAGTATATATGTATCGATCCATGTATCCTTTTATATTTATAAAAGAAAAAGTTTTCTATAGTCATTGGTGGTAACCTTGAGTGTGTTTTTTAATTAGCAATGAGAAGTATACAAAAGTAAGCTACATTTATACACACGCCCAGCTGCTAGCGGCATAAAAGATAAAGCTGGTTATTTACTACAGAATCAAAAATCACTTGTTTCTTAATTATTTAACGCTCACCATCTTGTACGCTGCTCAAATTACGCAAAGAAGTGTTCGGTTTGATGAGAAAAGAGCAGCACACTCAGTAAGTACTAGTGTTGTTATAGCAACATAAACACAAACCTGCTGAGGAGGCGGAATCTACAGACGGAAAACCAATCAAATAGGACAGGAAGGGTTCTTCAAGCAGGATGATTGGTTAACAATTATCAGGTAATTCTACTGAGTCTGTTGCACACAAAACAGGCACATACTCATAAGCACTAAACAAGGGGAAAAAAAAGAACATCAGCGTTTACGAGTGTGCGTATCTTTCATTAAATATTTCAGTGCTTTTAAAGCCGGTGATAGAGCTTCAGGTTTTAATGCAGTTCTTTTCATGTAACCTTCAACTTATTAGAAGTTAAGGTGGGTAACAGGAGGGGATTCACAACTGCTGCAGAGTGTTGACGTCCTACTAGAAAGATTTTAGCATGCTTTTCAGCAGAAAGGAAGAGACTATTATCACCCCTGATCCAGTCACCTATGGGAATAGAGCCGATAATACTTGAAAAAAGAAAAAAAAAAAAACCCTCCAAAAGTCCTTTAAAAATATGCCATATATGAACCAAGTATTAAAGATAAGTTTATATTCTGGTCCTGCTTATTTTTTGGGGAAAGATTTATCCTTTTAGCCTGCCAGATAATTTCCTTAAAAGCAAAATGATCTGATGGGCATGAGTGCTGCCAACTGATAGTTGAGCTGGCCTTTGAAAATAGAATATTTAGAAATTTAACTGTATACCACACAATTTGTTTAGAAAGTGAAACAGTATTGACAAGAAATAGTAAACAAAGGTTAAGTGCTAAATCAACAGTGTTTTGCTAATAGCATGGCTCTACTGAGGCCACTTTGGTCCAGACTAAAATATTAAACTCTGCTTAGATTGTGATGAGAGTATGCAGATCTTTCATTGTCCCCAGTAGATTAGATGTCTCAGTGCAGGTTATCCCAGCTGCTCCCATCAAGATTCATAAAGCTTTATTACTAAACACATACAAGAGGAACAGCATTCCCATCAGTTTCAGTTGTTCTTCTAGGCTAATAGGCAAATGTTGGCATACCAGTATTTAATAAACATATATGTTTAACTTCAAAATATTAGGACACCAACATTTAGCTCAAAGCACTGCCACGTCATGGATGTATTTAGAGAAAGTACAGTATCAGAGATGTGAGTGTAGTTGTACAGCTTTAGGCCTGTTATTCACACGTTTGGTATGATGCAGGTATTTTAAAATCAAGCGATATCGTAAACTAATACTTTACACCTGAGTAAAATTTCATCTGAGCGACATTTCACACATATTGTAATCTGAGGCTATAGTTCATGGTGGTCTGGAGCAGTAGTTCTCCAGACTTTCTGAAGTTGGCCTTTGGCTGCTATTCCACTCATTTTCAGAATATTTGCTTTCGCTTATTTGTTAAATTACACCAGCCTATGAAAGACAATAAAGGCACCCTGTGTTAGATGCTTTTGGGGGTTTTTTCTTTAGTTGGCGCTACAATTTATTTATTTTTTTAAAGATAACAATTTCACAGACATTAAAAATTGGATTTTTGCACAGAGGTGATTCACAAAAAACTATTAGCTGAAGACTCATATCTTAGCACTATGTTCTTAAAAAATGAGTAAAAAGTGGACAAGTGGAGGTGAAAATAAATAAGAGGCATTAATAAAAAAATTTAAAAACAAACAAACACTATCTACAGCATCTGAAAGCCCTGTCATTAAGAAAAAGGAAAGAAATTCAGGATAGACCTGACAGATGCATCTAGAGCTTCAGCTGATTGACCTACTGATCTACTAATCAGGAATAGTTTTAATGACATATTAAGGAAGGGAAACGGGAAGAAAAGGCTGAGGGACGTCAAACTGTCCAAGAACTAGACCATAAATCAGCCAATCAATTAGCGAAAGGATGTAAGGAGTGATGCATCCAAAGTTGACATTTGTGGTTCAAATCAATATGTATGGCGATTAGAAAAGAAATACAATAGTGAAAGTTTTCAGTCATCGAAAACGGTGGAGGCTCCGTCATGGTTTGGGACCACATTTCATCTATTGTTGTCAGTCTTGTACTTTTACCATTTCCAATTTTTCTAGAAAATACAAAGAAACTTTTTGCATAATTTTATTGTTGTTATGTCTTAAAAGTTAAATACAAATCATTATTTAAAAAGAGAATATTCACTTTTGAACATAGGGCTGAGTTCCAGATAAAACACTGGGTACACTTACACCCATCTAAAAAGCTTATCCAAATCATGGTCACAGGTCCCAGCAAGGCGAGAGGTAGTCAATCATCAGGCCAACAGAGAGACAGGTTTTACACTCACACTTATAATAGTGGCTAATTTAGCCAGTTAATCTAGGCACCAGTCACCAGTTAACCTAGCATATCTTTGGACTGTGGGAGACATCAGCATACCCAGAAAAAACCCACGCCCCCCACAAAAGGCTGGATTCAAATTCAAACCCAGGACCTTCCTGTTGTGAGTCAACAGGGCTAACTGCTGTGACTCTAGGCCACCTGTTGTGCTTTTACATGGAGCCTAAAATTCTGGTAGTAACTGGTTTAAAAGCTGAAATGCTTGACAGTTCAATCAGAATACAAATACTTTAACTCTGAGTGTGCTTTCTGTCCACGCCCTTGGTGTTTGCTTCCAAATTCAAACTCTTGGACACTTTACATCAACAGCACTGAAAACACCATAAATATGGATCTTCAGGAAGCTCAAGAAGAATGCTGCACGTTCGCCGAGGCCCCACGGTTCTGATTAAATGCATTTCATCACAAACCAGGGTTTAAAATCCCACCCAATTAAAAACATTAGCTTATGTAACCACAGGCTTTGAGCATGGGGATGTCGAAGAGGTCGCAGATGCCTTCTCTCTCGTCCAGATCACAGGTGTAATCTTGTTTAGATGAGGGATGGAGACAAACGGAGCAGAGGAGAAAAAACGGTTATGCAGATGTAAACGTGTAATTGACACATTCAATATGCAATAATCATTAATAACTTTATAAAGATGAATAAAGTGTACTTACCTTCAGAGGACAAGAGCTTTGTGATTAGATTTGTATTTAATATTCCTACAAAAAGAAAAACAAACCAGATATCAATTTACAGTAAAATTATCTGACTTTAGTATTTTTAAGAGCGAAGACCGGCACCTCTGGGCGGCTCTGTTTGGTCCTGCCGTTGGTTCGATGGATCCGGCGCTGGAAAAAAGATTTTTTTGAACAAACTGCGAGCATGAAAATGTAGATACGTTAAATGTAAAGCCTGCGTAAGCATGAAAGAAGGAACAGCCTGTCTGTATCATTTCCTCCTTTAATATTTAACGATACCATTAGTCACACAGCTTATTTAACTAAGCATTGAATCCACTTTTTCATGTTAGAATATTATGTGCTTTTTTTTTTTAATTAACTGATTCCAGTCACATGGGGGAAAACAGTGAAAACTGTGGCACGATCGAAAGTGGTTGCTTCAAACACCAAGTCTGCCACCACGCAGGGTCAGCTATCATCATCAACATCATCCACAGCAGTTTGTTGCCTTTTAAAAGTTTAAAAGTTAAAAAACTGTTGGATGAATATTAAAAGGCGTGGAACTTATAAAATGAAGGGTTTATTAGTTTTCGTTTCTCTTTCAATGGTGTATCCAGGAAAGATAACCGACTCACTTTTGGATTCATCAGTTTTGTTACTGACTTTACTGTTTTCTTCTCGCCAGGCAGACAGAGCTAAGCTGGCGCTCTGTAAAATTTCTTCTGCTGGTGGGACTGGAAGTACAACAGGAGCAGAGCTGACGGAGCATTTGTTTAGAAGGACGACATCTATGGGACCTCTGGCGCTTTTCAGATGGATCTGGTACCTTGCCGGGCAGTTCTGGACCTGTACAAAAGAGGAGGAAGCACACATAAATCACCCCCGTCTGAATTAAGGGCAGCAGCGGGAGTATAAAGTACAGTCGCTTTCAGTGATGCAGAACTTACAGCTTTGGGAATGGGGACATCTAGCTGTGTGCCAGGTGGTGCTTGCACTGCTAAAAGTGTGTGGCCTGAGAAGAAACAAGATGCAGACAAGTCAAAATACGATTTATATGTATTTATTCCAAAGAGCAGAAAGCACCATCTCAGGCTTACTGACTCTACTTTATTTTTTTAACTATATAAAAATATACTGAAGAAAGAGTAATTGCTTGAAAAGAGGGATTATACATCACCACAAAAGCAGTTGCAGACATCTTCATGATTCACATATGTCAGAGTTGATCTGAGTTAAGGTTCAACCTAAAATATTTTGCTACTCAGAAAAGAGATGTGATGGATTGTTGCACAGCATTTTCTGTAACGGCACAAATGCAAATGCAGCGTATCTGTCACAGAAACACATTAAATCTCATCAAATCTGCTAAAAATATCCAATATCTCATTTTCAGTTAAAGCTGGAAGCATAAAACATTTAGTACAAATACACATAATTCTGTTCCTACGTTGTGGTAAACAGAAGTAAACACATACACGCCCACGGACTATACTACAACTTTGATGTTTTTATTACAACATGCTGACATCAGCTTGTCTTTTGGAAATCCTCAGTAATGACATCGGTATTGTTTTCATAGATCATTTGCACTGCTGTCAGGATTGTTAATATGGAAATCTAATGTAGTATATTAATCATATTTGTGTCATTGTGAAGTCATATAGTGGTTTACTGAAAAAATAATGTTTTAAAGAGCTCAAAAAACAAAGTGCTTACACCCCACAATGACTAATATATTGCCCCTAAAGTTTGGAGATGATTCAATGGAACCTAAAACTTTTTCCTAATTCGAGTGACCCTGACCTTTGACCTTGAAGCATTAAATACTTAAATGATGTATTTTATTGTCTTTACCCAAATGATTGGAGCAGAATTGGCTGAAATCTTTGGCTTCTGCGAGCTGTGAGAACTTCCATCCTTTCATGACTTGTTACTTGATATGGTTTCACAAAACGTTTTAACCCATTTTCACGTTTGGTGTGTCCTTCACCTCAACCCTGTTTTTACCTAAATGAAATCAG